TTCATGTTTATGATTATTTTTTAACACAAATAGTCTGTATGTTTTTTTATCACATCACAAAATAACAGAAAAAATTAATGCATACGTATTGTCTTTGTTTGCTTTCCATATTTCACCTACATTTAATGTATTTGAAGGTTCTAATATAGTATTAATTCTAGGAAAGCTTAACATGTTTAAGTATCATGCAGTTGCAAATTTAACTGCTGTCCATGGATTATGAAATATTGTAAAATCACCATCTCTGTAATGCTAAGAAATAGGTTTATAATTTACGTATTGACTTTCATGGTACAGTTCGGCTCATTTTTTCTGTACAAAATCTATGAAGAAAAGTCATCCTCAAAAACTAAATATGCAGTAGACATCATCTACATAGAGTAAAGTAACCGCTGCGATTACGAAATATCATACGAACACAGAACACAGACAAAACGTAAAGACTGACTCAAAGAGATATGATGTCATAAATGCATCAAAGAGAAGACATGAGCAATGCAGAGCATGAAGAAAATGTGAAAATTGCATCAAATACAAAATATGAGAGCAATGAAGAGCATAGGAAAAACGCAAAAATAAATCATAAAAAAACAGCATTAAGGAGTCGGATGATAAAAAAAATATCAAGAAATGACTGCGAAAAACAGAGACATGTTATACGTGTTGTAATTAACACGTTTATAAAAGTTATTAAGGACTTTCCAGGTCACAATTTGTTCCGTCTGTCATAAGTTATTGTTGAAGAAACAGGTCGAAAGATGTAACAAAGATACAACAAATAGGGGGAATAATGTATTGAAGTAGCGTGACAATGTATCACTGAGCGGTATGTCAATCCTTGTTCAACCGAGGTAAACCATCAGTGTTCGTGTACTGTATGGATTTGTTTTATCTGTCACAGGAAATTGTTAGCCGGGAACATTCCGTGTGAGGTTGCAATACACCATGCGAACTTCAGTGATTAAATCCCATTGAAACTCAGTTGACATCAGTTATTGTACCATTTACGAAAATGATACTTTCGCCGAAGGGTGGATAGCATGGAGTTTATGGTTCAGTTGTATGTGTCCCTGCAAATATATGCACGTCTATCAGAAGTTTACCTAGATGTGAACGCGATAGCAATTCGATTCAAGTTAAATTAAAGAGGAAACTGTCATATTAAAGTCAATATGGCTATCGTTGTGTGAATACTGATCGTCTTGAGAAGGCAATTAACTTTTTGAAAGAAAAAATAACAAATGTGGTACGGCAATGTGAAATTGGAGGAAGTTTGGGAAAACCCAATAGATGAGAACAAAGACAGTGAAAATACACAAAACGACTTGGTACAAAACGTAGAGAGTCTCCTTGATGCAGATAATGTCTTCAACCTCTAGATATAGGACAGGAAATTCTCGGTCGGTATTTCGGCAAAATATTTTCTGTGGCTAGACAGGATCGAAATATTTGATATCCCGTTTTAGGTATAAAATACTTAGTTAACTTGCTATTACGTTACACTATGCTTTTGGTATATAAAGTTGACAACAGATGCAAATCTTTGCTCATTTTTCCATTAAGTACCTAAAACTTAACACATTTTAGTTAGATATTTTTACAGTGAATTGCATTACACTAATCTTTTACTTTCGTTACAAAACTAGAGATGGATTTTTTTTAAACTTTTGCCATTATAACTGTTCTCATCCGAGGATTTCCTTTCAGTAGAAATATTAGAAGAAATCAGTTTTTAAACATTTTGTAACCGACAGGTAATTTTTTTCTTGGTAATACCATACTGGATATGTATCCGATTATCATTATGTACATATATGAAAATAACTAATATTTCATAGATGTCAACCCGAGACATTTCTACTCAGCTATTATTTTTCCATGACTTTTGTTGAGTACTACCAATATTCTGCAGACTTTTTCCGTAGAGTATTGGCATACATTATTTGCAGACTTTGTCTCGAAATCGATGGACACCAAAGAAAAATATCCATAGAATTTGGAGAGCATTGGCATTGCACATATATTCGACCCCATCAACCATTGTCAATGGACTTAGTCAACATTTTCCACAGACATAACAGACATTTGTCATAGGCAAAATAAACAATTTCCACAGATCTAGTAGAAATTTTCCAATAATGTGACAGATTTTTTTTTAAAACCTTACGAAAGGACGGTTACTGATAAAAAAGGAACTCCGAGAAAAAAGTGTGGGAAATTCTTTAACACGGACAATATCCGCTGATAGCGTTCATTTTCCATGTAAATTTGAACTTCTATTGGATTCCATGGAATTCCCCGGTAACAACAAACAAACTCATGCTTAGTTGATTTCCCATTGATAATTAATCTACAGCCAGAATGACATATTTATGTTTGTAATGTCTGTGTTGTTTTAAGATGTATTATTATTCAAATCAACAATATTGTCTCCAAATTACAATCAGACACATTTAATGAAGACACAATGGTTTAATTGTCACTTTCTTTATGCGTATCCAAGTCTTATATCAGATTTGTATAATTAGGGATGTATACTCCCACGTGTTTCTGCCTTCTTTTATTTAACATATTTATGTTTTGCGTAAGAGTGAGTTTTATATCAATTTTAAGGTTTGGTATGGATTTACACGAATGTAAATTTATGTATATATAATATGATAACATTGTTGCTGCGCAATGATGCACTCCCTTTCTCAATCCATATTTGAAAGAAAATAGTGAAAAAGAAAAAACGTAAGAATCCTTGCGTGAAATTAAAAAATAAACTGTATTCACGCAATCTCTTTTACATTTTACCTCGGTATACCTAGTTAATGATAAGCCTTTAGACCTTGCAGATTGAGATTTCGCATTTTTTACCAATTATTGACCCCGATGACATTGAAAGTGGATGAAGGTTATTCATACTATTACTTAAGCATCTGACATATGGAATAACAATACTCTAGAGTTTAAGGAACTTGGAAAGAAACATTTTTCATTTTTTATCCTAATCAGAGACAGAGTTTACTCTCTATCTATATTAAATTTTTTATGTATTTGTAAGCTTGATGTAAACGTAGGAAATAAATTTATATGTCTATAATTGATATTTCCACTCATTCTAATTTAATAATCAAAAATATAAGGAGAGTATTCTCTCGTAACTTTTATTCAAATGTTATACACTTTGGTATGTGCTTGTCCTGTTTTAAAGCCACAATATACACAAATGAGCTAAAAGAGAGAAAAAGCAATATCTTAAAACAATTCCTCTAAGAAATACTCGAGACGATATTGTGCTTCTGTATTGATATAGATGTAGTTGAAATTTACTCTTTGTAAACATCCCTCCATTTACGATCATTGCTGAATCGAAGTCTGAAAATCATTTAGACGTTTCCGTGAGATGACACATTTACGATATCATGTGCGTCCTATTCAGACTACACAGCGAGCCCTCGAATGTACACCTGCATTCTACTAGTAATATGAGTTCAGCAACAACGCACAACACTTGAGACATTGTACCTTGTAATTTTTCGTGACGGCTTTCTTCACATGGACTAGTGGGAATCACTGTATGGTATTGTGTGTGGTAATGCGAAACCAACGATCTTCAGCTGTCGATCCTACATTTTTTTCATCAAATAAATAAACATCCCTTATTTTGGTAAGATCAGTAATAACAAATCTTCAATGTGTAATGTTGACTTGAAAAAAAAGAAAGAAATAACAGAAATTACATAATAATACATCCTATTTATGTAACTAATTATATAGTTTACATACAATTTGCAATGACATGATTCAACATAATTCACATAGTTATAATTTTCATAACATCATCTCCAGTCTTTGATATGATCGTCATGCATAAGCGCGCATTTTTTCTAATACCACAGCCTACCAAACACTTCCCGCTTACCTCCTATTCTTAAATAATAATTACTTCCTTTCCTATAATTTCCTTTCCAGTTTCTAGTTTTCTCTCTCTCTCTCTCTCTCTCTCTCTCTCTCTCTCTCTCTCTCTCTCTCTCTCTCTCTCTCTCTCTCTGTTTGAGAAAACCCTAATCGGTTTAGGGAATCGAACCCCGATCGGCAAAGGGAAAGACGAGTGTGTTACCACATCATACGACCACCACATAATGATGGTGATGGTGATCCTATGACGTCTACAAGAACATGAAGATGACAATGATAACGTAACATCACGGTGATAGATCCGTGTTAAAACATTTGTATTTGTGGCTATGTTGGCGAGTGTCTTCTTAAAATCTTTCAAAAAACCAAATTAAATAAAAATGAAACTTCAGTGAAGCCATAAATCATACAGATCAAAATGATGATCAACTTGCGGTCATGTTCATACAGTGCCGATTTCATTTCTTTTAAAAAATTGTTTCGATATCCACACAAAGACTTTGCTAATATATATACCGCTCAGATTAGTATGTTTGTGAGCATCCAGTGCAGCCGGCCTTTCCAATTTTCTGCATTATGAAATCGTACAGGTAAAACAAATGTGTACTTAGTGATATCTGAGACCTCTTTGATTTGATCGAAGTACTTTCTGGAGAAGATCATCTTTACACAGACTATTGGTCCGATTTCAGTCATAATTAGACAAATACGTATACCGATATATGATGTTGAGTAGGTGAGGCTATTTATGTGTGACACTAAGGAGAGGAAACCCCTCTCAAACTTAGTGCTGATAAAGTTACGTAATAGTTTTGAAAACAAGGTAGTTCATTTTGTAAACCCGAACACAAAATGGCGTGCAGAAATAACAACGACAGGCTTTCAGAATTGGATTTTGTTATGGGTGTGGTTTAAATTATGATTTTGGTAACACGAGTAACTGATACAGCCATGCGTGCAGGAGACCGCCATTTCGGGCAAGTATTGCGTTTCAAAAAATCTTTACAAAAAGAGGACAAAACAAAAAACTGATATTATAAGATGTTACCTTTTACAAGAGTATGTATTACAAACTACCCTTATAAAACACAACATCAAACTGAAGTTGTCGCACGTAAAGAAATCGATGACGCTAATTCGTCCCAAAACACAACATTACCATGCAAGTCACCACGGGGATACTCGATATAGGTTTTGCTCTCAATAATATCCAGTAACGACAGTGGTAAATCTCGAGGCGGAATATCCTCATAGAACACCAATAAAAGGACAGAGTCGCCTCCCCTAGAATATATACTCTCCATTCGAGCCATGTTAAATTCGAAAATACACCAGTACGAATTAAGATAGTTCCGGGAGAGTATGATAACAGTTTTCCTGCTTTGGTGGATAGCGTTGGTGATGTTCTGGGCTATGTCTTCCCCTGGTATGAAGTCTCTTTGGTGCAGACAAAGTCGCAGCCCGTGATTGTCTTCCAAATGGATCAGCATCTCCTTTACCACGAACATATAATCATCTGAACAATATGATATAAATGCATCATACAGGTAGTCATCATCGTCTTCCGCATTAACGACGGGTCTATAACCACGATACTGGGTCTTCGCCATGTAAAACAGATAACGCAGTTTCCACCTGTAGCGGTAGATCATACCAGAAATCACAAAGGTTACCGACAACAGAATCACTGAAGCACACACTGCTATGATACCTATATAACTATCACACGACTTACTTATTTCCAACAAGGTTGTATCAAAATTGGAAAACGTTATTTCTGTTCCGTTGGAGAAAGCACATTTGTATGTTAGAAAATGTTCAAACAAATCTTTGTTTCGACCTAACCATTTAAGGAAATCGAGTTCCTCACACGAGCAGTCCATACGATTCCCTTGCAAATTAATGGTTAAATTGTTGTCCTTTAAGCTATCTATCTGGTCTCGTTGATCCCGATTTATTCTTCTAAGCTGATTATGGGTAAGATCGATATATTGTAGATGTTTCATATGTGATATATCGAGACTTAACTCATTCAATGCGTTGTTACTCAAATTCAGTATCTGAAGTTCATGTTGGTTTCTGAAGAGCAGTGCCGGTAATGTATATATGTGATTTCTAGATAGGTTGATAATTTTCAAACTCTGAAGAGTCTTGAATATGTTGCCGTTAACATCTTCGTAGAGCACCAACCCTAATAAATTGTTTTGAATTAATAGTGTCTCTAAGACATTTTCGACCATAAAGAAATTTTCAGAGATGTGAGTACAGTAATTATTTGATAAATCGATATATTTCAAAAATGGCACGTTTACTATTGTCCCTTTCCATGAATGTAAGAAATTATTACTGACATCAATAACTGTGAGATTAATATTTCTAAAATCAATTGCACCGATTTCAAAATCAAAAGCATTATAACTATAGTAAAGTTCTCTAAGCGAAGGGGGCAGAGGATATGTAGATAAAATATGACTGTCATGATGCAATTTTAAGAGAGGGTTCCTGTTACAGTCGAGTAACTCTGTCGATACGCTGAAGGAAATTTTCTCATCTGACGATGGTGGTGCCCGCCAATCTTTACAATCACTTTTACCCGATTGCAAATTGTGAGAATACTTTTGGTAATCCGCATGTACTATTTGAATACTTGGTAAAGACGACATTAGCTCAATAATGTATATGCCAAATGTTAGGCTATTATATTTTGCTGATATGAATTCTAATGTTTTAGGAATTAATCCTGCCACGCCAACATCAAGCATAACCAAACGATTATTGTCAATGTACACATGTGTTAAGTTTGTGTTTTTCAGGTGTATAACATCTTCCCTGTATATAACTGTACTAGGTCCAAACGTACAATGTAAACCACTAATGTCTAAAATACGAATACGAGTATATTGTAAATCATGTGTAACGTTCGGAAGTACTCGAAATGTCAGACATTCGTTGAAAGAAATATTTAGCGAATAGAGATTTGTCAATCCACGAAAAGTTCCAATGTCAATTTCATGAATATTGCAACTGGAGATATCTAAATATTTGATATTTGACATGTTTTGAAAGTAATCGAACCTTAATCTTCCTAGGTGACATACTCCGCTGTTCCCAGATAAATCAAGGGTCCTCAACTTAGTCATCTGCAAGAACCTTCCGTCAAATCCGGATAAATCCACTCCATCTAAAAGTAATGTCTCAAGCATATTCAGTTTTGAAATGCTTACTGGGAAATGTAAGTTTCTTGATACATAATGAATGTTATTCTGTTGTATGTTCAAGTATCTTAATTGAGTCAATCCCTCAAATATATTTTCGGAGTAAATTGCGTTAGTATATCGAAGTTTGTTATCACTTAAATCTAAATATTGTAATTGTTTCATATCCTTAAAAGGAAATCCGATGAACATGTCTAAGTTGTTTCTCGATAGGTCCAAGTATTTAACCGTATCCGGAATTCCTTCACCTGAAATATTTTTTATATTGTTTCCATTCAGATGGATCACAGTGACATTAGGATGAAACGTTGGAATCGCATCGATATTCAGATATGAACAGTCTGCCACTATGCTATTATCTTTAGAACTATGGCAATGACACAAGTCCTTAGATGTGCAATGGAATATAGAGATTTTTGAGGAAGTCGGTAATGACGCCAACGAGCCTGTCGTTGTATTCAAGTTATCCTTGCTGACATCAAACCCTTGTATTTCTTGTACACTAATACAGCCAACGTACAACATAATACCTAGAAATGGAAAACAAAATTAAAAATGAGTTTATTGGATTAAGGGTCTATATTTACTGTGTAATATTTCTAAAGTTGTCGGAAAGTAATACATATATACATCTATAACGTTGACATAGGATTCAGTCCGAGTCAAGGCCAGTATTTGTACTTACCACAGCATATCTTTAATAAAGCCATATCGCTGTAACTGTGGACCTATCCCGAGAAAAACACTGGAAATATACACCTCTGTCAGTCAACCCGTTTTTATTGTCGACAATCTACATATTGCTGAAAACAACTCCAACTTGACGTCGAGCCACACTCATGATGATTTCAGTTGCCAAGACAATAACAAGTGTGACACAATTTGCTTTTCCTTTTGTTATTATTTGACCATGAATTGTATGTATTGAATGTTGATAAGAAGAATGGAACATTTGCACACTTCACTATGTTGACTCTTTAAGGAAGCCTATTCAAATCACTGACAACCTGTTTTAATCCACAGCTTTTCTATGTAATCAATAAAGTATATGTTGACAAAAAACAGTCAATCCGAATGCCTACTTCAGGACGAAGGTACTTCAAAGAAAAATCCATATCATTCTCAATGTTACTAATATGTTGCACATATCACATGAAACCAAATAATTTATAATCTGTTAGGAGCTGAATCTGATATCATTTCGCTACATACCGCCACAGAATTATCCATTTTGACGTGTGATTTCACCAGATGTTAAAATGATATAACAGCCTGTGAACGCACTACGAACAACATGCGTGACTAAAAGGGTCTTTTAAAATAGGTATACGAGCTATTGCACCCAATTACTGTAAGCTTTAAAAGCTATGATGAAACATGTTTCATAACTTTAATATAGTGACACGATGACTTGAAGTTGTTTAGACAATGGGTTTGTGACCGATTACTATATTTGTCCTTTCTTTTTGCCTTGTCGTATCTTTGATAATAATTTATAAAACTACATTAATGAATAAGGAAACATTTACGAATATGTTATGCTAGTATGAATTACGTCCTACTTCATGCATCTTGCACATGTGTGCCAGTAATTGTTCAAATTCAATAAGCTTGCTAATGTATGCCAGTAATTGTTCAAATTCAATAAGCTAATATGCATTTAGATAACATCAGACTTTAAAGTAAGACGGTGCGAACGTTTGTATGTTGTTATGAGGTGTGACTTTGAAAGATGTTTGTGATCTTAGGAGTATGACTGGGAGAGGTGTTTGTAATTGTAGGGGTGTTTGTATGTGGTTGTAAGGTGTGTGTGACTATGAGAGGTGTTTGTGATTGCAGGAGTATGACTTGGAGAGGTGTTTGTAATTGTAGGTGTGTTTGTATGTGGTTGTAAGGTATGTGTGGCTGTGAGAGATATTTGTGATTGTTGGTGTTTTTGTATGTGGTTGTAAGCTGTGTGTAGTTGAGAGAGGTGTTTGTGATTGTAGGAATGTTTGTATGTGGTTATGAGGTATTTGGCCTTGAACATTCCCAATCAAACTTCATACGAAGGTGTTTCTCCTACGTTGTCTAAGGTCTCCTTCTGAGTGTTTGATTTGGCTATATTGTATCTTTTAATGAATATATTTTTTGACTATTGGTTATAGTTTTTTCCTGTTGGCAAGATCATAATATAGTGCCGATAAAAAAAATAGAAAAGTAACTTGATAAATATGTTGCGATTTCATTGTAATTTGTGTTTAAGCTTATCTTGGTAACCACTAAATAATTACTAAGTGTGCAATCATATCATTGTCACGAAAACAACCCTACATAAGCATATTCTATTATCAAAATTACTGTATTGACGGTATTTGACGAACCAAACAGGTATACTAACGAGCACCAGACACCTCAAATTTCTTATCGCATAAATAGAATATTTCCCAATGTGATCGAGATGACAACAATAAAAGTTCCCTTTCAACGTGAGTTTGAGAAGAAAAATGGAGGAATATCGAATCAACTGTGACGTGTAAATACTGAATGATTTCGATGCAGGAATATTCATCTCCTGAAATGGAAAATTTACAATTGGAAATTGAAATCTTCATACTTATCATATAGCTTGTTTAAAAATGTCCCTGCTAATTTTGTCGCAAGAAAATATTTACGTAGGCAGTTGATGTGAAAGGATCGGGCATGTTCTTGATTACCAATTCAGAGGAGTATATGTAATGGAAATTGAAGTATAAGAGTTATGTCCCTTGAATATGACTTGTGTAGTGGAAATTGAAGTATAAGAGTTATGTCACTTGAATATGATAATAGCTAATTACATAGGTTAATTTGTTCATCTAATGATTTTTGTCGATTAATACAAATGTTTATAATTCTGTAGTAAGATATGGAAAGGTATTCTGTACTATGTTAATATTTTAGTATGCATCATTTATGGTAAATTAAATACCAACGATTGACACACCTAATTAAAGAGTTTATTATACATGTAAATAGAAATTACTTTGAATGATTGCGAGCGCTGTTATACTGACTGTTGGTAAAGCTTTCAGAGATACACAGACGACGAAACACTTCCTACCAAGTTTATGAAACTAAAAAAAAAAAAAAAAAACACTTCCTACCAAGTACATAACACCGTTATTTGCAACAGGTGGTGGGTGAAAGTCTGAAATAGTGGCTTTTCCGAAACCGCTTGTCAAGCTGGTGCGAGGGCTGTTTAGTTCTCACCGAAGCTTGGACTTTTGACTGTGGATAGCTAGCGATAGGGTTAGGTTAGAATACGAGCAAGGGTTGACTTAGTTGGTAGGACAACCTAGTGCTTAGTCAGGACTGACTATATTGTTCGGTGACTAGTTCAGTAGTTGGAACTAGGGTTAGGTGAAGTCACTGGGTGTCGAGCTTGCACTCACGCTCACATGCTAGTCGGAACAGTCTGTGTCGGGACAGCAGTCCATGTGAATACTAGTTCGTTCGTTAGTTTTATTGTTAACTCAGGTAGAGTTTGCTGTTACACGCTATATGTATATATCGGCATTTGTTAGCTAGTATCTCTGCAAGGAATCAAAGACTTACCCACCGTGTGCAAAGTTAGGCTGCACGTTACATATATTCGATGGACATACAAATAAATTTCATGTTATCAAAAAACAACACATCAACAATATATTCAATATATAAGTGACATTGAAGGACTTCGAAAGGACTTCACGATCAAATTTGTTGAGCACCTTTATAAATTCAGTCTCGTGGAAAACAAAAACAACTTAGTCAAAAGAGGGACGACGTTTGTTCCTATTGGTATTTAAGTAGCCTGTTGGAAGATCTTACCACAAAAATCGATGAATGTATTGTTAACCATGAACTCAATCATCTTGATGATCTGCTCTTCCGTTTATGAGTTGGACATGTTTTTCATTAAATAAGCTTACGTATAGGTCAAAACCATAGTAATGCTTCTTTGGAAAAGAAAAAGGGTCATCACAAGAGAACGAAGGCGTTCCTTCAGTTTGAGCATGGTAGTGTACAGAGTAGAAAAAAGTCAAATATTCTTATAAAAGAAATGTTCTGTTTAGATGAACGAACCCGGACTATTTAGTCTATTTAGTCACAGTTTCCAAGAACCACGGAATGACCTAAATGGATATGGTGTAGTATGTACTGATTGTAAAAGCGAAAATGATTGCTTGAAAGAAACCGAAACCTGTTTCAAACCACCAAATGCCGGCTCAAAGCTCTAAATGCAACGTTCATGCAACAAAGTACGGGTTGCAAACAACACAATGTGGGTCGCAAACAACAAAGTACTTGTTTCAAAAGGAGATATCAAACAACCAAATCCATACTTCAAACAATATCATAAACAGTTGCATCAATGAAATACGGGTTATATTCAAATAAAATAAAATTAAAAGCAATAAAAAAATCGCCGTCGAACACTTGCTTCGCATAGATGTTGTCTTGAGCGGGAGATTAGCGTACCGTCACGATAAATATTTTCACACACACTGAACCCCAATTTTCTATTGTTCAATTGGAAAATTGATTGAGTATACTGTATCAATGTTAGAGTTCCTAAAAAACACTTTTATGATTTATTTATGATTTTATTTCTCAGAAAAACAGTTTCCTGGAACAATATATAAATAGACATTCTAAATTAAGAATTCTAAATATTTTCTCGAAATGTACCAACAACCTGCTGATGTATTATAACCTATAGGGGCATTTTCTGACAGGCTGTTAACACGTCTGTCATACCACATTTATGCTAAAAAATGCATTAGTATGTTTCCGGTAATACATACAATATGTGCATATTTTACTCGATTCTGATTTGCTATAATGGTCTTATTTCAAACGAAACTTCAACTTCAAAGCTCAATTGATTGGTGCAAATAACATTTATTTGCAACTCATGTTCAAAAGCATATTGTGATCGTCTTAAATAACTTCTGTTCGTGATCATTCTGTTATGTTTAATAACCCGAATAAGAATAACTTTCTTCTGTTCGTTTCTTTGTATAGAGTTTTGTAGCTGAGAACATTGTATTCTTCTTACACGTGAGGATATTCCTTTACAATTGTCTTAGGTAGGACATAACATCTGCCTGTCACTGATGACAGTATCGTGGCTTGTACATTCACTACATTTTAGTTGGAGAAGGATCGCATTTAATACGAAATTCGGATTTACTACATGGCCTGCATGCGTATAAGCCTAGAAAGAAGCAATATGACGGACGCAAATACAAAAAGGCGACGAGGACCAAAAAGTGCCAGAAAGCGTAAGAGGAAGGAGTCAGACCACACAGGGCCCCACTAGTTCAGCGCCCGCTATTCACATAGATATTTCTCCCACAACAAAACGAATTACTAAGACTGATTGTTAAAACTATATATCATGACTCCATAGAATCATTTACTGCAAACAAGAATTAGTAGAAAGGCGCAAAAGCAAGTGTCATACATAAGACATGTGCGTTTGAATGTTTTCATAATTCACACATGACTAGCCAGATGCATATATTTCGAGTGCCAGTTTTGCTTTGAAAGTCCTTGTGTTTTTAGTGGCATATATTTGATTATTATCGAATCGTTGCTTAACTCTAACCAAAGTTTGAGAAACTGGGATGTGGTTGTTATCTGTTATTCGAAACGTTTGGTTGAGCAATTTGACTTTGTGCTAATAATTAATTCGTGAACAATT